GGTGTTCCCGCCCTCTCCCAGCCCCCGGGGGGCTTCAGCTAACACTTCTCCTTCCTCTGCCCCCAGAGCCGGCCACTGAGCTGAGCCAGATGGGGCAGGAGCAGAACGGTAAGTATCCCCCACCCCGCTCTCCTGGTACCCCTCAGTCCCGACCCGCAGCCCCCACCATGCCCTGGGCTCTCCCACTGCTCTCCTGGTGCCCCTCGGTCCCCCTCACCTCCCTGCTATCCCAGCCCTGGGCTCCCCCCAACCAGGCCCCTCAATTGGCTGCGTTGCCAACATGCAGCCAGTCCTGAGTTATGGATCTCCGCCTTCTCCGGAGGGTTAGGCAGTCACTGGCTATCCCATCACTGCCCACTAGAGGGGAGTCTTGCCCTTTCCTCTGATGCAGGCAGGATACCGGGGTAGATGGGCCCCAAGTCTGGTCTGATCTGAAAATTCCCGTGTTCCGAAGAGCCCGGGACAGGACCGGAGCCCGGGAGGCGCTGGCGGGGCTAGCCCTTGTTTTGACAGACAGGTCCGTGCTGGTGGGTTTCGGGGCCGGCTGCTCAGGTGTCTAACTCTGGGTTTGTCTCTTTCCCTTCTGTGCTGAGGTCGCTGTCGGGGGCTCCCGGCCACCCCCAAATTGAAGGTAAGGGGCCGGCGTGTTCTGGGGTTTCCCTTCCCCAGTTGGTGTTTTATTGCTGCCAATAGGGCCTCAGAGCCAGGGTAGGAAGTTGGAAGGTGTGCGTTGTGCTCCCAGCTCAGGGGGTGAGGGCAGGACTCCTGGGTTCTCGCCTTGGTTCTGAGAGGGGAGTGGGATCTAGTGGTTACAGCGGGAGGAGGCTGGGAATCAGGACTCCGGGGTTCTCTCCTTGGCTCTGAGAGAGGAGTGAGGTCTAGTGCTTAGAGCTGGGGGGGCTGGGAGCCAGGACTCCTGGGTTTTATCCCCAGCTCTGGGAGGGGAATGGGGGCTAGTGGTTAGAGTGGGGGGAGGCTGGGAATCAGGACTCCTAGGTTCTATCCCCAGCTTGGGTGGCGGGGGAGATTAAAACAGGCAAATAACCTCGCTTCCCTCTCCCCACCCAGTGCCCAGGTCTGGGGGGCCTGCGTGCCGGGATCGGGGGGGGAATCAGTCCAGGACTGCCATCCTTAGCAGCCTGGGGCCTCTTCCTGTTGCAGCACGCGGGCAGCGAGGGGGAGCTGTTCCCCGCCCCACCGCCACTGGCGCTCTCGGGCAGCGTCTGCACCCTGGACTCCAGCGTGGCCGAGGAGTCAGACCCCGGCGAGGACGCCAAGTCGCCCCCGTTCTGCCTGGCCGAGGAGCCGCTGTCCATCACCGAGGAGATCCTGGAGTTGCTCACCCAGAGGGGGCTAAGCAGGGACCTGGGGACAGAGGAGACGCCCTGGGGGCAGGGGGAGCAGCGCCCTGGGAGCCCCACTCCACAGCCGGAGCAGGTACGTGAGGCGGGGCATAATGGGAGAGAAGGTAGAAGCAGCATTGGCTAGTGGATGGGGCACTGGGCTGAGAACCAGGACTCCTGGGTTCTGTCTCTGGCTGAGGGAGGGGAGTGAGGTCTACGTGGTCAGAGCAGTGGGTCTGGGAGCCAGGACTCCTGGGTTCTGTCTCTGGCTGAGGGGGGGAGGGGAGTGAGGTCTAGTGGTCAGAGCAGTGGGTCTGGGAGCCAGGACTCCTGGGTTCTGTCTCTGGGAGGGAAGTGCGGTCTAGTGGTTAGAGCAGGGCCTGGGACTCAGACTTCTGGGTGCCTACTGGTAACATTTTCAAAAGCACCTGACTTAAGAGCAAACGTCCTATTTTCAAAAGCGACTGGGCCCTTCGGAGTCTGATTCTTCCCGGGTCCCTTAAATGGGACTTGGGATCCGAAACTGCGTTGGGGCTTGTGAAAATTCTACCCCGGCTCTGCCGGCGCAGCGCCATCAGCCTTCCGCCCAGCCTGAGATCTGGCTGTGAAATCCTGCGATTTTTGCCTGAGAAATCGTGAGATTCAAGGGTTCTTTCTGCTGCTCTGAGGTCACATTTTCACCCTTTTCCGTGCAACCAGGAGGGCTAGCAATTTGCTTTTGGTCTTTGAATCAAAGCCGAGATTCCCCTGAAAGAGCATGATTCCAAGAGCTGTGTGATTATTAAGGGAAAACCGCCAGGATCTGTTAGCTAGACCTGGACGGGAAACTTTGCTCATCCTAGGATCACGGTCAAGAGATCGAAACATTTTCCCTTCCCGAAGCGGGACGTAAAATCAAAATCTCAAAGATTTTCACCAGTCGGAAATTCGTTTCTCTTCTGGTCGTTTCATTTCACTTTTGATCCTTATTTTTTAACTCGGGGCTCTCCATAAATGACGTAACACATTTTGGGGCGACTTTCAAGCCCTGCCCGCCCTGGGTAACACTTCGTAACACGGGAACAAAGAGCGAAATGAAGGATTCACCCACCCGCTGCCGTGTTATCTAATTTTTTATTATTGCTGTGTTTTATTATATGGTTTGAACCGGAAAACTGGAATTTTTCATTTAAAAAAATGTAGAAACTTTTTTCCCGAGGTGTGTTCGAGGCGAGAAATGCGTCCGTTTCCCGCCAGCGGGGGTCCGGTCTCGACGGATCACCATTTTCTGCTGGAACAATCCTTTGCTGGGAACTATCCCCCCCGGCCTGGCTCTGACCCTGCTGTTATCTGTTTTGATCCCCCAGGATCCGCCTCTGAGCCGAGCCGTGCTGGGAGAACGAGCCGAGGGAAGCGAGGTTCAGGAGGGAGACGCCGCCGGGCGAGACGAGCCCCACCCTGGCAGCCTCGGCGTGACGCAACCCCTCCCTCCGCACCGTCCCCCCCGCAGCGAATCGGAGGAGAAGCAGGAGCGGGGCCCTTCCCCTCTTTGTGTCCTGGAAGACCTGGGTGCAGAAGAGGCCGCCGGCAAGCCAGAGGTCCTGGCAGGGGACAACGCCCTGCATGCGGGGCGGGAAGCGTCCAGCGGGGAGCTCGGCTCCACCGATGGGGCCTGCCCCCCGTACAGGGATGGGTCAGCGCGGGACTCGCCGCTGACCCGAGACGACCGGCTGCTGATTGAGAAGATCAAGTGCTACTACGAGGCGGGCGAGGCTGCCCCAGACCCCCCCGCTCGGGAGGGCGCCCTCTCCGCCCCCGCCGGCGTGGTGCGGGACTCTGTGCTCCACCTCAACCGCCTCCCCCAGCAGGAGGGTGCCACGGACCGCGAGGGGGGCGGGGCTTCCTGGGCCAAGGCCCGCCCTGCCCGCCAGGAGGATGCTAGGAGGAGGTGGGGCCAGTTTCTTGACCAAAACACCACCCCTCATGACGCCAACCAAGAGGATTCTGGGAAGGGAGAGGGCCCGGCCTTTGATCAAGGCACTCAATTTGGCGCCAACCAAGAGGCCCAAGAGGATGTTGGGAAGGGACAGGACCAGCCTATCAACCCAGACATCCATGGCGCCAACCAAGAGGATGCTGGGAAGGGGCGGGACCAGCTCATCAACCAAGGCACCGAAGCTAGCGCCAACCAAGAGGATGCTGGGAAGGGGCGGGGCCAGCTCATCGACCAAGGCACCGAAGCTGGCGCCAACCAAGAGGATGCTGGGAAGGGGCGGGGCCAGCCTGCCAGCCATGTTGCCCTGCCCCCTGCCAGCCAGGAGCCCGAGTACAAGTCGTGCGCGGAGATCCGGCGGGCCTGGCGGGAGAAAGAGCGGGGGGCGGCGGACGCCCTGGGAGCACGCACCCCCCGCATGAAGCAGGGCAGCAAAGGGCCGGCGGCCGCCCGCGAGCCCCCACCGTTCCTGGAGCCCCTGTGGATTGTGGAGGAATCGGATCTGGCTGCCCCGCCCCGGCTGTCCCGTGGCGACGCGGTCCCTCGTGCCAATGGTGTCCCGCCCGCCGGCTACGCCCCCCTGCCAGGGTTATATGAGGACACTGCCCCTTGCCTGCTGGAGAACTCGGAGCGGATCCTCAGCAAGGTGCAAGCCCTGGCGCGGATGTACAGCGAGAAGATCAGCCGGGCCAAGACGGCCCGGAGGCCGCAGGACGGGCCGCGCCGCCCGGCACCCAGCAGGATGGGCACCCTGGAAAGCCTGCGGGAGGAGATGCCAGGGCCCTGCCTCCCTCGCTGTGAGTCCCAGGGCCTCTGGCTGGGTGGGTAGGACCCCCCTGCAGCGGCGTGGCTTGGAGGGGGGCCTTGGGAGGGGTCTGGGGCAGCCCTAGGTGTCAGAGAACTCCTCCCCTCTGTAGGGCACCCCAGGGTGCCACTCTGTGTGCCAGGCTCTCTGCGGCATGGCTCTCCCTCTCCCCACTGCTCCCCGCTCCGTGTCCCATTCCCCACCCACCTGAGCCAGCCAGTCCCCCACCCTCGGATGGATCAGAGCCGGCCTCCCCCAGAGGGGAAAGGCTCCGTATCCCATTCCCTGCCCCCCTGAGCCAGCCAGTCCCCCCTTCAACTCTCTAGGCTGTGTGGAGAATCATGATGGGTCCCAGGGCAATGGGGTAACGTGGAGTCCAGATCGGGGCAGACTCTGAGCCTCCAGCAGCCCTGGCCTGTTTGCCCCCGGCTCCCCGGCCGCTGGCTTTCCCTGCCGCCTGCCTCGCAGGTCTGTGTACCTGGATCCCTCCTTACGTCCGTCTCTGCTGTCCGAGCGTTTGTCCCTGGGTGCCTGGACCCCAGAGCAGGCCGCACTGCGCGCCGGAGCCACCCGGCCGGTCCCAGAGCTTGGTAACGGGTCCCGGCCGCAGCATGCGGCCGGCGCAGAGCCGCCCAGCGAGACGGGAGTGCGGAGCCCGAGCAAAGCCATCCTGGGGCCTGGGGTGGAGGGAGCGGCCTGGAGCTGCACAGGGGCCTTTGTGCCGGCTGCGGCAGGAGCGGCCCGCTTGCGGGGCTTTCCTTCAGCTCAAGCCGTAGATGCCGGGGGTGGATTTCAAGGACGTGGGTTCTAGTCCCATCTACCCTAAGTAGGTGAGGACTATCCCCACAGCCTGCAACTCATCAGCCCCGTGCAGGAAGCGTTCACAGGCGCAGCTGGGCCCCGTTCGGTGACACACACACAGTCATTCCAGGGGGGCTCAGACTAGAAAGCTGGTTGTAACCCCTGCAGGCTGCCAGCCCCCCACCCCCCCACCCCCCCGGTGTCAGAACAAAAGCAGCTGTCCTGGGACCGGCGCCCAGGAAAGAAAATGCTCCTTGCGGGGTCCTGAGAGCAGAGAGCAGATGGGAAGGGCTGCTGGGAACGTGGAGCGCAGGGGGGGCTGGCTCTGGTGAAATCAGACCCTGCCATCTGAGCAATGTGTGTGGGTCTGAGCGAGAGACTGCAGCCCCCCCTGCTGGCACGGGGTGCGCTCGCGCGCTGGGCGGAGTTCCCGGATTTGCTAGGCCGGGTCCCCAGCCGGGGTGAACGCCAGAGTAATAGTCCCAGGCAGTGGGACCCAGCACCATCCCTTTGACTTCTGTGGTTCCTAATGCCTGTTCACACCAGCTGGGGGGAGGAGGGGGAGAGGGGGGGGGTCTGGCCCTGCACCCCTAGCTTTGGGGGTAAATTGGGGCCACGTTCTCAGCCCTGCAGTAGGCGAGAGAATAATATTCGTCCCCTCAGCAGGTCTCCACGTGCTTCACAAAGGGGGGTAAATTGGGTCCCCTTTTTACAGATGGGGAAACTGAGGCACAGGGCTTTCCTGAGGTCACCCCAGAGTAGCACAAGGACTAGAACCGGGTCTCCTGAGGCTCATGCCCACTAGGCCGCACGTGGGGATAAGGGGCGTAAGCCGACAAGGAGCCGCTGACCCCTCTCCCTTTGTCTCCCCCAGGCGAACCCCGGCTTTACGGCCACGTGCTCATCCGCGAGCCCCCCCTGCACGTGAACTGCGTCCAGGAGAACGTGCTGCTGGTGGCCGCCGCCCGAGGGAACGCCCTGGATCTGCGCAGCGACCGGCCTGCACCTCTCCTGGCTTCCCGGTGCCTGGGTTCGCCCCCGGCAGAGGAGCCGGGAGCCGCCCGGCAGGAGCCTCCCCCCCCGCTGGTGGAATCGCCCGCGAAGCTCAGCGGGGACCCCCCGAGCCCAGGCGATCCGGTTGGGGAAGCCCCCGTCATGGACAGCTCTCCCCCGCCGGCTCCTGACGCTACCAGTGGAACTGGCACGACACCCGAAGCCAGGGACTTTGAGGGAGCCGGGTGCCCGTCGGTGCCAGGCTGCCGAGCCGAGCTGGCGGTCTGCGGGCGCCGGGGTGAGCCAAGCGCCAGGGAGGTTTCTGCGGATACAGCAGCCTCCTCTCCCTTCAGGGAAGCGGCCCCGAGCCAGCAGGCGTCAGAGGTGACCGGGCTGGTCCCAGCCGCCTCCCCCAGCCCTGCGGCGGAACGGCAGCCTGCGTGTGTTGGCACGTCCACCGAGCCCGACCCGCTGGGGCCGGGCCCCTCCATCCCTGGCGCTGGCCCCCCGGAGCCGGCGGGGGAGCAGAGCGGGCCCGTCGCCGTCCTGCTGCCAGAGGAGCGAGCCCTGGCTTTGGGCAGGGATTCCCGGCCTGGCACTGAGGAGCTGCTCCCCCAGCCATCGCCGGGGCCCGTCCGCTGCGGGACTGGAGAGGCGTCCCTGTCTCCCGCGCCGGACCCCGTCCCGCCGGCGGCGCCCTCCAGTGCTGCGGGATCCCCGTCTCCGCTCCACAGCAACGTCCTGCCCCTGGCAGCTCTGCCGTGCCGGGGCACCTGCCTGCCTTCCCGGGCCACGGGAGTGGCACGCCCGTCCCCGGAGCTGTCCTCAGCTGCAGCTGCCCAGCCCAGCCGCTCCGTGGCCCGGTCGGCTCCCGCTTCGCCCAGCTCCGGCCCCCTCCCGGCTCTGCCGCGCCTCCAGACCTCCTCCCCGGCACACCGGCGCCTCTCCTCCAGCGCCGCGGCCATCTCCAGGTACATCGCCGCCTCCTGCATCAGCCAGAGCCTGGCCAAGAGAAATGGTGCCCCCTCGGGGCCACCTGGCACCCAGCCACCGCTGGCAGAGACCTCGGCACCCACCAGGCCTCTGCCTCCCTGCTCAGCCATCCCGAGACCGTCCTCCTGCCCCTTGGGGCCACCTGGCACCCAGCCTCCGTCGACAGAGACCCCGGCACCCACCAGGCCTTTGCCTCCTTGCGCAGCCGTCCTGAGACCATCCTGCCCCTTGGGGCCACCTGGCATCCAGCCTCCATCGACAGAGACCCCGGCACCCACCAGGCCTCTGCCTCCTTGCGCAGCCGTCCCAAGACTGCCCCCCGGCCTCTTGGGCTCCAGAGCTCCAGCCCCCCCATCTGCTCCATTCCCCAGTGAGAAGGCCAACGCCTGGTCCCATGGTACCAGCAAGCGGGACCCTTCCCAGCTCAGCGTCTGCCCTTCCCCCTGTGCCAGCCCTGGGTCGCCCTCTCCCCCGGGCTGTTGCCGCGATTCCAGCTGGCTGGAGGAGCCCATCCCCTCGGCGTCTGGCTCGGCCGTGCTGCTGGCCTTCGACCGTCTCTCGGGGACGTGCCCGGTCCCCCGGGCTAAGCAGCCCGCCCCCTTCTCCTCCGCTTCAGAGCCCAGCTCCAGGGTCCAGTCTCCAGCGCCGGCGTGCCCCCGGGTGTGCTCCCCCCCTCCCTCCAGCCAGCGCCACGCAGTGGGTAGAGCTGGCTGTGCCCCCCCACGGCCTTGCTCCTTTGCCCCCTTGCACGTCCCCACACAGCCTTCCACCCTCCGCCTCTCCTCCCCCCTGCAGCCCACCTCCCATCCCTCCGCCACGTTACCTCAGCCGGGCAGGAGGCCGAGGGGAAACCCCGAGAGCCCTCCATCCCCTAGAGACGGAGACGGGGCGGGGTGCTGCTCCAGGGCGCCCCCTAGCAACTCAGCCAGTCCCAGCCCCGACGAACTGGATGGCATCAAGTGGCCAGACGTCCCCGGCTTGCGTTCCAGGTACGCTGACCGGGCGGGCAGCATGGGGCCGCCAGGCTCGCCAGAGGAGTACCCCAAAGCGAGAGCGGACTTGGCTCGGGACACGGGACCCCATCGGGCCAGCTACTCCACCACCGTCAACATCCAGATCGGGGGCAGCGGCCGGATCGCCTCCTTCAGCAACGCTCAGGTCAGCCTCACCCACCCGCTGCTGGCGGCGCCCGGGCAGCACGGCGCTAGGCGGATCAACGGCAGCACCTTAGAGACCCCGCAGAAAACGTGACGGGCCAGGTCGGGCGGGGGGGAGGGGGGGGTTACAGCCACGGCTGCAGGAGCGCTCCTGGCTCTGCACGTGCCCGGGACCAGTGGTAATATATTTCTGGGGCTGGCTGGTATGTGGGGGGGGATGAATTGTTATTGACCCACTGGGGTTGGCAGGGGTGGGGCCAGATCCCCAGCTAGGGTAATTTGGCCGTACTCTATTGACACCAGCTGGGGATCTGGGCCCATTGACCCCACTGGAATGAGGCCCATTGATACTAGCTGGAGATCTCGGTCCATTGACCCTAATGGAGCGATGCCCATTGACTCCCAGTGGAATGAGGCCCATTGATACTAGCTGGAGATCTCGGTCCATTGACCCTAATGGAGCGATGCCCATTGACTCCCAGTGGAATGAGGCCCATTGACACCAGCTGGGGATCTGGGCCCATTGACCCCACTGGAATGAGGCCCATTGATACTAGCTGGAGATCTCGGTCCATTGACCCTAATGGAGTGACGTTCATTGACCCCCAATGGAATGAGGCCCATTGAGGCCAGCTGGGAATCTGGTTTCCTGAGTGACTTCAGAGGCACAGTGGGGTGGATAAGGCCAGCTGAACTCGAGAGTCCATCCGTGCAATTAAGCAACTGTTTCCAGGCCAGGAGGGATCAGCGGGGCCTGGTCTGTAAAAGCCGTGTGCCCCCAACTGATTGTGCTGGTCCCAGCCAGGTGGCCGCGGCTCCCACAGGCCAACAGGCAAAGTGCTCCCCCCCCTGCAAGCCCCATTGCGAGGCAGACGGCATTCAGTTCTGGCTCTGGGTGGTTTTAACCGCCTGGTTTGTTCCTCGGCTGGTTGGGCCTGCATCGGGACCAAAGTGAGCGGTGTGGGTGTTTGTAAAGGGGAGTGGGCACTAGAGGGACACAAACGCACACAGAAGACTAGCCAGCAGGAGCGTGCACGGCGCAGTACGGACACATGCACACCTCTTTAACCAGCAGGGGGATCTGCATGCACAGCCGCCTAGCCAGAAGGGAGCAGTGTGGACGCACAGAGAGCCAGCAGGGGGCAATAGGAATACACCCAATTATTTCCCCCTAAGTGTGAAAACCAAAGTGTCTTCCGGGCCAAATCCTTGCTTCAGCCAAACTCTCCTTGAAGCAGCCCAGGAGAGCGGGGGCAGCAGGCATGAGGAAAGCCATTGTCCTGGTTCAGAGCCGCCAGCCCCACCGCATCTGGCCCCGTTGAGCTGTATGAAGCCTGGCTCAGATCGCTAGACCCAGGGGTCAGGTTCAGTCTTTGGACTCTGGCGCATTGAGATCTGAGCTGTGGCAGCCACACACCATCCCTGTTGTGCCTTCGCTCTGGTGTCCCCGGGCAGAAACCCAGCTCCACACAGGTCCCTCTTAAACCTGCGTGAGATGTTGGCCAGGGGTTGTATTCCCAGTTCTGCTACAAACTCCTAGTGTGTGATTGTGGTCTAGCCACTTAATCTGCCCTGTGCCTCATTTTCCCCCATGGGGATTGTGGACTCTTTGGGGCAGGGTGTGTAGCTTGCTCTGGGCACGGCATACATCTCAATGTTCCCGGGTGCTACTGTAATTAATCTAATATAAACCAAAACGACAGCTCTGGTGAGCAGGAGCGGGTGCTGTTTAGCCTCCATGCCCTCAAAGGTCTAGGAAGTGGAAGTTGCTTTCTCTGCAAGGGAACCACAGATGTGTCCTCAACACACACGTAAGAGTTGACCCCAGGGTGTGCTGGAAATGTCAAGGCAGCCACACGTCCGTCTCTTTCCGAGGCCTAAATGCACCTTAAATTCAGAAAATTTCCCCATAAAAATTGCAGTGGGACAGTTGGGTAGAACTGTTTTTTTTTTTAAGTATTTGTATCAGATCAACATGGAAATCACCGGCTCAATGTCCGTTTAAACCAGCTGGGAATCTGGCCCCATTGACCCCAGTGGAACGATGCCCCGTTTAAATTAGGTGGAGCTCCAGCTCTTAATCCCTACAGAGTGGCAACTGGTGCAGATTACTCCAGAATGATTTTTTCCCCTTCCCTACACCCATAAAACCTGTAACTCAAAACCACCCCTCCGTTTCTTCCTAGCTTTCCCTGGAGCTGAGTTGCTGTGAGATTCTAGTTGATCTCTCTGACCAATTCAAGACGCAAAATAAATTTGCTTAAATATTGCAAGTAAAATCCCTCCAGACGTAGCAATCCTGGGTTGTGATTTGGATGAAACTTCTTGGAGTGTTTGAATCCCTGCTCGTTTGCCTTGAAATTAACAAGGGGAAATCATAGACGTCTGTGTGTGTTTCCTTTCCCTAAAAGAGGAAATCAGGAAGAGGGGGGCAATGAAACGAGAATAATGAAATAAATATTGGCTCCTTAGAAAAGCGGTACAGTTAATTCTGGGTTTTTTGCCATGAGTTTTTCTGCTTCGTTTCTAAAGCTGGATGGCACACGGAGATTTTAAATTGGAGCAGCAGGTAGTTAGAGAGACTCTGGTATTGAATATCGAGCCTTCCAGATGGAACCATTTAGCTACATGTTTCGACAAATTATTTCACAGCCCACCATTTGGGGAGAAAAAAAAATCTCTCTCTGGTTATTACCTCCTTTACTGCCTGTAATGTATGAGCCTGCATGTTTTCGTCCCTTTGAGAGGCAACTTTTTACGCTTCTGACTGCTAGGGGCAATGCGAGCCTTGGGCAATCCGTCCAAGATGTCACGGCCAGTTTTCAAATGCTGTTAATTTCCTTCTCGGGTAGGTTTTTTTTAAAGGCCAGAAGGCATCATTCTGCCCTTCTGTATAATCCAGGCAGCCACCTGAGCGAGAGCCAGTCTTTAGCAAGAGGCACCTGGTCGTGATCTAAAGATTCAGAGAGAGAGAATCTGCCCGATCGCTTGGGGAACCTCGCCAGGGGTTAGCCCCTTGCCCCATTACAAACTTGCTGCCCGCTCCCTGTTTCCAGTCCGAATGTGTCTTGCTTCAGCTCCCTCCTGCTAGGTCTTGTTCTGCCTTTGCTCGGTTATAAAGCCCTCTGCTCTCAACGATGTCCTCCCCGTGGAGGTCTGACTGCCCTTTTTGACTCAAGCAGCCGGTCAAAGCTGGGGGCCCTGCAATTGGGCAGAGAAATTGACGATAGAATCCGGCACCTTTGAGGCAATCTTGTTTATTTGCAAGGGGCCGTACAAAGTCCTGTTTCTCTGAACACAGTCAGATCCCAAAAACGGGAGGTCGCTTCCTTCCCTGCAGCAGCACACATCCTGGGTGTGTGTGTGTGTGTGTCTCTCTCTCTCTCTCTCCTTGGGCTGTGCCCCCAAGACACTTACCCCGAAACCGATACTCTGCCAAACTCCCCTCCACCAAAGGCTTTCGAATTCCTGAGTGGCTGTGGTTTGCCGCGGTCTTGGAGCGTGCTGTTGTATCTTACGTTGAACCTGAAGGAAGGGCAGCGGTTAGCCCATCAGTTTCAGGGGTTTTAACCCAACCTAGGGCAGTACTTCTAGCCCGACATCACGTCGTCGCCTCGGTTAATGAAATCAACTGAGCTTCCCCAGCCCTCACCTTGCTCTTGTAGCTCCTCTTCGTTCATGGACCGGACTCTGATCTCACTTCCACCTGGTTTATGTCAGAGGGGGCACCAGACTGGAGCTGAGCCGAGGCCCGTCTCGCCCGCTATCCCGGCTCTGGGGGCGGCCAGCGCCAGGTGCTGCAGAGCAAAGTGTAAGAACCCCGCAGGGGCAGATGGGAGATAAGCTCCCCCCTCTCCGCCACATTAGGTCTCTGTCTCGTCTCTCATAGTCTGAGATCGTCTTAAGCCCTGAAGCATGGGGTTCTGTCTCCCTCAGCATGGTTGTAAATCGAGCCACTCCCCCAGGGTATTATTATTATTGTCTGCATCAGAGTAGCACCTAGGACCAGGACACCCCTTCCCCCCATGCCAAACACTGCGTGTTTTCATTGCTATTAGGTGTATTACGGTAGCACTCAGGCACCCCAGTCATGGCCCAGATCCCATTGCACCAGATGCTGTATGTTTCTATTAGTATTAGTTATATTACGGTAGCACCCAGGAGCCCAGTCATAGTCCAGGACCCCCACTGTGCCAGGTGCTGTACATTTGTTTGGCTATTAGGTGTATTACAGTAACACTCAGGTGCCCAGTCATGGCCCAGGACCGCGTTGTGCCAGGTGCTGTATATTTTTATTGCTATTAGGTGTATTACGGTAACACTCAGGCACACAGTCATGGCCCAGGACTGCATTGTGCCAGGTGCTGTATATTTTTATTGCCATTAGGTGTATTACAGTAGCACCTAGTTGCCCAGTCATGGCCCAAGTCACTGTTGTGTCAGGTGCTGTACAGACAGAGAACTGTCCTAATTCCAGTGTCTTCCTGTGGGGGGGTTGTCCCGCTGCAGAGGGGTGAATCTCAGCCCCAGGGAGGAATTGTGGTGGAAGTGGCCCTTCCTTCCCCTCCCACCCCCCCCCCCAGGAATCCCTCTCCCCTCCCCCCCCCCCACACACCTGCTTTGTACCTGGGCCACATGGTACATATTTTTCCAGCCTCGTCTCCCCGGCACCACTTCCATCTCTGCCGCCCCTCGGCCAGTTCTTTCCTGGTGTCGTTTCCTGCCTGTCCTCAGGGCCATCCAGCGAATCAACCGCTATATTTGCTGTCGCCCAGATAACACCCCCACCCCTGCAAATGGAAAAGCAGCAAGATACAGCCAATGCCTAGTGCGGCCCCAGGTCTGGGCAGGAATGCGGTCTGGTGGTTAGGGAGGGAGCCAGGACTCCTGGGTTCCACTCCCGGCTCTGGGTCGGTGTGTGATCTAACAGAGAGAGCAAGGGGGCCAGGACTCCTGGGTTCCTGTCCTAGTTCTAGGAGAAAGTGAAGATCAACAGTTAGCAGAGGGAGGCCCGGACTCCTGGGTTCCATTCTCAGCTGTGCCACCCCCTCCTGAGGCAGGGCCCTCCTAGACTCATGCCACCCCCTGAGCCGTGGCGAGGAGAGGGAGGATCACACGGGAGGTCGGTGGACATCTGAGTGTGACCGGCGGGTGTGCGGGACGGGGGCAAGTGGTAGGTGCCGAGGGCTGTGAGAGTGAGAAGCGATGAGGGCTCCAGGGATCAGACTATCCAGGTATTCGTACGCTCCTGCTCTGCCCATCACCATGGCCTCTGAGCCCCGCCCAAGCGCTAATGGATTGCTCCTGACAACCTCGCCCATCCCTTGGATTTCCCCACTGCCCTCCAATCCAGCAGAGCGTGGCCTAGTGGTGAGAGCAGGGGGCCGGGAGCCAGGACTCCTGGGTTCTTTGTAAGCTCTGGGTGGGCAGTGGCGTCTAGTGGTTAGAGCGGGGACGGGGTTGGGAGCAGGTTTCATGGGCTCTACCCCTAACTTTGTGAAAGGAGAGTGTTGTTTCCAGTCAGTGATTAGAGCAGGAGGGACCGGGCGCCAGGATCAGGCCTCTGGTACCGTCGTCTCCGTCCAAATTGTTGGAGAGCCACTTGTGACCGAAAATGAATGTTTACAGTTTCCTCCGGGCCAGCGGCCGCCTCGGCTCACACCCGTGCTCGCCAGCGCTTTTGTTATTTTCAAAGAGCTTCGTCCATTATTTATGCTGTTCACAATCACCTTTAACTTAATGCCACAGGGTTTAGTTCCTCTGGCTTCTTGTGAAGTTTGCCTTCTTGTAAATCCATTGGCGCTGGTTAGGATCTGATGCTATGTTACCGGTCTGGTGGATTGGTTTATGGCCCCTGTATCGTACGTACAATTTGTTTGGACGTGTTTGTTCTTTTTACTTCTGGTTTTGTTTTGTTTTTGTATTAAAGTTAATTTTGGGAGAGAAAAAAATTTGCCATCAGTAAATAAACAGTAAATGTTTTCAGTGCCACTGGACTCTCTCTTTCTCGAGCAGGCCCTCATTGGAATAACTGTCCCCAGCACAGCTTAACATCTCACTAGCCGAGCTTTCGCAGATGGGGAAACTGAGGCCCAGGAGAAAGTGGCTGCCCTACAATGAGCTGGTGGCAGCGCTGGGATTAGAACCCAGGAGTTCTGGCTCCTGACTCAACCCATAGACCACTCTCCCTGCCTCAGCCAGAAAGAGACCCCAGGTGTCCTGGTTCTGATACCCCCTTGCTCTAACCACTAGACCCAACTCCCCTCCCAGAGCCAGGGAGAGAACCCAGGAGTCCTGATTCCCAGTCCCCTCCCCCCCTTAAGGGTCCTCCCTTCATTATTGCAGAGCAAGGGCAAACCTGTGGGGCAACTCCAGGAACCCCAGAGCCGGGGGCCAGGGGCCACCTGTGAGCACTCGGAAAAAAATCATCCCGACAAGGAACTTGAGTGGGGCCCATTAACCGAACATCCTCCCCTCCCCCATCAGTCCCTCCCCCCCATCACCCCACCTCCCCATACACCCAGCCTCCCCCTGCCCTCTTGTTCCCCCCTCCCCCTGCTCTCTCTGCCCCCTAACAACCCCTCTCCACACACTCCCTCTCCCATATGTATCCTCCCTGCCCCCACACTCTTCCCCTCTCCTGCTGCCCCTCCCCTCACAACCCACTCCCTTTTCTGCCCCCTCCCTAAACAACCTTTCCACTCCCCCATAGTATCCTCCCTTCCCCCACACCCCTCCCCTCTCCTGCTCCCCCTCCCTTCACAACCCACTCCCTTTTCTGCCCCCTCCCTACACACAACCCCTCCCCCCTGCAGCTGCTCACAGCCCAGACACACAACCAAGCAGATCAAACCCAGGTGGCCTTTGCGGGGGGCTCCCGGGGTGACCCTGGCCTGTCGCTCTCCCTCTTGCCTTCAGACAGGCCGGAGACATGAAGGGGCTGGAAATGGACGCACAGCCCCGCTCAGAACCCCCCCGCGTACACACACCTGCACTAGACACCCCCCCCAGCTCGTATCCCACAGCTGTTGCGGGGGGAGGGAGACTGTTCTCCTTTGGAGCTGGGTTCAAACCGGGGCCAGCCATGGTGCACCTGGGCTCCAGTGAGCTGAATGAGGGAGCCCGGACTCCTGGGTTCTATTCCCAGCCTTTGGGGTTACAGCAGCTTGGGGTCTAGTGGTTGGAGCAGGGCAGTCTGGGAGTCAGCACGCCTGGGTTCTATCCCTGGCTGTGGAAAGGGAGCGGGGTCTAGTGGTTGGAGCAGGGCGGTCTGGGAGTCAGGACGCCTGGGTTCTATCCCTGGCTCTGGAAAGGGAGCGGGGTCTAGTGGTTGGAGCAGGGCGGTCTGGGAGTCAGGACGCCTGGGTTTAGAGTGACCAGACAGCAAATGTGAAAAATCAGGATGGGGGTTGGGGGTAATAGGAACCTATATAAGAAAAAGACCCAAAAATCAGGACTGTCCCTATAAAATCAGGACATCTGGTCACCCTACCTGGGTTCTATCCCTGGCTCTGGGAAGGGAGCGGGGTCTAGTGGTTGGAGCAGGGCGGTCTGGGAGTCAGGACGCCTGGGTTCTATCCCCGGCTCTGGTTCTTAAACGTTCCCATTTTACAAAGAACTCGCCTGAAGTCCCAGTGCTGGGAACAGAACCCAGGTGCCCGGCAGACCCAGTTCTAATCCGCTCTGCCTTTCAGACTGGATGTGTCCCATATATGTGCCTGGGTAAGTCTCTCTCTAACCATTGTGTGACATTTATTCCCTTCCAGACCTCCGGGCGCTTGATTCCCACTGCTCTGCGGCTGCCTGGCAAATAGCTACATCACCCACTGGCAAAGCTTGTATGAACCCTCTCCACCCCAGCTCCCGAGTCATTTCTCCTGGAGTGCCATAGGAGGTGGGACTCTGAAAAGCCAGCATTCAAAGCCTGCAGGGGGATTTTAGGGCTGCATGGCCTAGAATTGGTTTGGTGTGGTCCCCAACACAAGGAGGTCTCCCCTCACCCACCTCGTCTCTGGCGCAGAATCCGTTAGGCCCACTTTTTAGAAACAGGTTTATTTAATGAACGGCATTGGGGGAGAGGTGGGGAAGACCCTGTAAAACAGGCTGTCGAGTTTTAAAAAAAACGCACTTGGCCAGATCTGGGGTGACCCCCCCCCACCCGGCCCCAAAATCTAGGCGGCTCACAGGTCCGTCGCCAGCGTGTACGTCTGTGCCCTGCTGGTGTGCTGCGAGGCTCGGGGGGGCGGGAGAAGGCTGCAAGGCGGGCAGGCCGCGCGCCAGAGAGCACGCCGACCTTTGGGGAGCGGACGCAGATGGCAGGAGATAAGTTTGAAGAAATCCAGGCCGAGCTGGAATTCTCCTGAGCCCGCGGGGGGGGGGGGAGGCTGCCCGGCGGACGGAAAACTCCCCGGGGGACGGCAGCCTGCTTGTTAGCAGGGCTGTGACAGGCCTTTTTCTGGGTCCCACTCTGGGGCAGGCATCCCAGAATGCACTGCAGTGAGCAGGGTGGGGGTGGGGGTAGTAAGATTGGTTTAGCAGTTGCCGGGGGAAAAGGGGGGGCGTTAAACTCTGAGTTTCAGCAGCTCTGGGTCCAAGTCCCAGCACCCTGTTGGACCTTGGGCAAGTCACTATCCAGGCTCTGTGACTCAGTTTCCCCAGCTGTACAATGGCGCAGTGCAGTGGCTAGGGCACTGGAGGAGGAGGAGGCAGGATATCTGGGTTCTATTCCTGGCTCTGTTTTTGAGTGACCTTTGGATAAGTCGTCCCGCACCCACCTGGCTCTGTGCCTCAGTTTCCCCATCTGTAAAACAGACACACTACTTCCCAGGAGTGCTTTAAAATACCCAGAATTCTCTGATTCCTGGCACCAGTAAGGGGAGGGGGATGTCTGCAGATTTTCCCAGCAGGCACCAGTGGTGCCCATAGTTGGGCAGCAGGGTAGGGGTGGAGAAGGGCCCACGGGGAGTGACTCTAGCAGATGGAACCTGCAAGGAGCTGTTTATTTGCACCTAGTTCTGCGCTGGAGGAGGGGGCAGGTTAATGGGCTAGGCCCCCCCGCCTCTGAGCCATACCAGCAAGGGGACACCCCTCTCCCAGGGCATGGGGGGGGGTCAGAAGCTATGGTGGGGGGTGCAGACCGCATGGATCTACCTCAGGAGAATGGGGTGGATTCAGAGCACGTGAGGCCAGCGGGAGGGAGCCCGAACCAATGCAAAGTGCCCAAGACTCATGCACCCCAGCCCCTATGTCCCCCCCGCCAGTCCTATGCCCCCCCCCAGCCACAGCACACTGTGGGAGCTGCCCAGCCGTCCCCTGGGCCCCTCCCAACCCAAGGTACGGATCCTGATTCCAAGTCAGGTGTAAACGGGCACAGAATGCGTCCGGATGTATTTAACACTGACTCTTACTGGTCAAGAAGCATCAGTTGAAATTAACAAAAATGCCCAGGGCCACATTGTGTATTTTTTTTTTTACTGACATTTCCCCCCTCTACCCGCCCCCCCCCAAAAAAAACGATGTCACGGATCCGTCGCTGATCTGGGGGTTGGCAGTTGTCACGGCACTTCTGACACCTACCAGATGCAGCCGTGGGACTGATTAACGTCCTCCTTCTGGAGTCAGTGGACAACACCCTCAGGGCCCACCGAGGGCACAAGCAGCCCCCCACCAAAATTCCCCCTATGCCGGGGATCTACTCTGGCCAGTGTGGAGCTGGTGTCAGGGATCCCTGCTTGAGTTGAAGGTGGGGGCCTGGCTGGAGCGCCCTGCACTGCGGCTTTTCTCTGCCCCCAGGGGGCAGAGCATGAATTAGAGCAACCCCGAGGCTGCTCTAACATTCACCACAGGCCAGACCTGGAATACAGGGAGCGCAAAGCAGAACTCAAAAGGCACCTGCCCCCACGTGCCGGGCTGGGGAACCTGGGAATCGGGCCCCCTGAATACAGCAGCGTAATAATAATTCAAGACGCCTCCCTCCAGTAAAGCAAACCCAGCTCAGGTGATCTCCTCCCAGATAAACATCCAGCTTGATCTGACCCCAATGCACAGGGTCAAAGACCCAAACCATATCCATCTGCTGGCAGCTCCTGGGGCCTGCATGGACTAAGTTTGCTGGCCCTTGGCCTGGTTCCTACTGGACACGTGTCCGCCCTACCCACCCAAGCTGGCTCTGGTTGGCCCAGTCCAAGGCCAGCCGGGACCATTCGATCATCAGTCTGATCTCCAGGCTGTTAAATTTTGCCCGGCTCCCCATGTATGGAGCCTGATCACTTACACTGGCTTATCCAGCCCGTCTTGCGTTTGTTCCCAGCGTTCGTCATCCTGACTGTGAAAAAACCGGGGTCTTATTTCCAGTCGGAATGTGTCTAGCTTCAGCTGCCAGCCGGTGATTTTGTTCTGTCTCTGCTAAACACACGAGCCCTTTAAAGCCCAGGATGTTTGCCCAGTATACGCTGTGCTCAAGTAACCAGGGCCATAGACGCGCGGTAAAATCAGGTCACCTCTTGATCTTCTTTGTGATAAGCCAGCTGGAGCGTCGTAAAATCTCTCTCTCTCCCGCGGGCATCTTCTCCCGCTCTTGAATCATTTTTGTGGGTCTTCTCTGCGCCCGCCCCAATGTTGCAACAGGCGTGTTTAAATGCGCCCCCTCCACCCCAGAGCTGGGCGCAGCATCCCAGGCCCGGGCTCACCGACACCGCCTCGCTCCTGGTCTAGATAACACTTAGTAGTGCAGGGGACTGGACTAGATACCTCTCGAGGTCCCTTCCAGTCCTGCGAGTCTATGAATGCTGTGATTATTTCTATGCAGCTACCAAGAAGCCGCGTCCCGAGAGCTTGTTATCAGCCGCAGGCCCAGGACGGCGAGCGTTTGGCTGGGGAGCTCCCCCCACCACCACGTGCGCTGAGTAGGAGACCTGACACTCCCATTCATTATGTTTAGATCAGGGCTCAGCCTGCGCTGTCTAGGACCCTGGAGCGGCTGGACCGTTCAGCTCTGTACAAATACAATCCACCTGCACGCGTGAGCTTCAAACACACCCAGGCGCGTGCCGCTGGCCTCTTTCACCATCTCCAGCAGCCTCCCGGTCGCCCGGGGTGGGGGGCTCTCAGGGTAGGTGGATGAGACTGCATCGGGGGTCCCCGTTATCAGGGCGTTGGCTGGGAGCGTTTGGGGTTTCAGGGCCCGATCCCCAGTGGGTGTAAATCACCGATACTCAGCCAACTTGGAAGGAGCTAATTTATGCCAGCTGTTCTTCAGGCTGAAGGTCTGTTTCCCTTTAGATCGTTAGCTAGTTCCTGGTGCTTTGAGCTCCGAGCTCTGCCCTTGGGTACACGCTCTGAGGCTTCTGTCCCAGAGGCGGTACTAAGGTTTAAATTCAGTCCAGCAGCAGGTTCTTAACTCATTTGTTGTATCTCTATCTGTCTAGCTGGTTTGGAAGATCCAGGAATAGAACCCAGGAGTCCGGCCCCCCGAACCCCTGCAGCTCTGCTGGGGGTGGGTTTTAGTCCCCTCTCGGGATGGGGTGCGCTCTGTCGGGTTCTGGGATCGCCCCGGGGAAAACCATCTCGGAGTCCAAGCGGAGCCCGTCGTCGGAAAACCTAGCGGCGCCGAAAGCGGGCCCGGAGCACGGAGGCGACGGGCTGGGGGCAGGTCCCTTTCCGCTGGCGGACGCGCAGAAGGAGCGGATCCAGGAGTCCTGGCGGATCCTGCACGACAATATCGCTCGGGTCGGCATCATTGTCTTCATCAGGTGAGCGAAGCTGCAGGTTTGGGGTGGTTGACACGGGTCCAGACGCCCCCGATCTGTGTGATCCCCGCTCCCCTCCCTGGTGCTGTCCTGGAGTCCGGCTCGCTCTGGGTGCCTGGGGACGTTGCTGGTGAGGGACAGTTTTTGCCACCGAAGAAAATCCCCCGACTGGTTTGGTTGGTAAGAAGCCGATGGGAGTTTCTTGGCTTTAAAAAGTTCCGTGTTTCTAGCAAAGTGAGTTCGGAGCTGGTGTGCGTCTAGCTCTCCGGTGTTCAAGGGGGCACTAAGGAACCCATGGGCCCAGACCCCCAACTGATGTCAGTCGGCATCGCTCCTTTGACTCCCGTGGAACGCGGGCCCATTCACACCAACTGGGGGATCTGACTCCGATGGGGCCGAACCTGTTTACACTGGCTACGGATCTGGTCTGACTCCACTGGAACGCTGCCCGTTTGCACTAGCTGGGGATGTGTGGCCGTGGTGCCGGTCTGGAGCCAGCCTTCGAGATCAGCCACTGATCTGTACGGAGGAAGCCCTGGCACAAGTCTTTGGGTCTTACTCTTAGCGGCAAATTGTTTCCGGCCTTGCGCCAGTGTTTATTCCTGCATTTCACATTCGAACACTAGCGCTGTCAGTTTTGATTCCTGGGTTCTGTTCCCACCTCTGGGAGGGGAGTGGGGTCTAGTGGTTTGGGGGGGGGGACTGGGTTCTATCCCAGCTTTGGGAGGGGAGTGGGGTCTAGTGGTTAGAGGAGGGGGGCTGGGAGCCAGGACTCCTGGGTTCTATCCCAGCTCTGAGAGGGGAGAGGGGAGTGGGGTTGGGAGGGGCTGGGAGCCAGGACTCCTGGGTCCTATTCCCAGCTTTCAGGTGGGGAGGAACAGTAGCTAGTGATTACAGCAGAGGCGGAACTGGGTTCCAGGACTCCTGGGTTCTATACTTAGTTCTGGGAGGTGAGTGGGGTCGAGCGTTACCCCAGGGGAGAACAGGACGCCTGGGTTCCGTTCCGACACTGACTCACTGTGTGACGCTGGGCAACTCTCCCCTCTCCCTGCCTCAGTTTCCCCAGAGGTATGGAGACTGGCTTGTGGTGCTGAACGCATGCGTGTCTGTAAAGCGCTTTTGGACTCTTGGCTAGACATAGCCAGCCGCAGTTTATCATTGTAATACGCTCAAGCAAATACTTGTCAGTCAGCGCACTTGTGGGGCTCTCTCTGAATTAATAATCTTTGTGATTACTGGGGGGCTGCTCATCCCGTGCTCTCAAAGCCCTTCCCGAAGGAAAGGTCAGTATCCTTCTTGCCTTCCTAATAGAAGGGGGGAACAAAGGCACAGAGTGGGATCTGCCCAAAGTTAGTGCCAGGGCTCAGAACAGAACCCAGGAGTCCTGACTCCCAGGACCCACCCCCATTGCTCCAGCCACAAGACCAAATACCCTTATAAGACATGGGACGAGAACCCCAAAATCCTTATGCTGAGCCCTGCTACTCTAACCGCTCCTCTCCCAGAAAGAACCCAGGAGTCCTGTCACCCAGGCCCCTTGGCTCTAACCACTAGACCCCACTCCCCACCCAGAGCAGGGAAAGAACCCAGGAGTCCTGCCTCCTCGTCCCCCCCCTTGCTCTTATCATTAGCTGCTGCTTTGTTTGCCTGGATCAAGCATTGGAGGGGGGAGGTCAGAGGGGACAGTTGGATACCCGCAGCCTGCCAGCTCCCACTCATCCACAGAGCAGGCCCGGGGGCTTGCGTCCACCCCGGCCCACGTGCCTCAGTGGCAGCCCGTTAAGGTACCCCAGGCACTTTCCCCTGGAGTCAGCGAGTTGTCGCAGCTTCGCCAGCGCTAAGGTCCCCCGAATCACCAGCGTGGCTTAGCGCCCCCCCCATCCCCCCGAGATTTGAAAGGAGAGGACAGATTCTGGGCATTCCCCAGCATTTCGCTGCCGCCGGGAGGAGCGAGCGTCATTTCTGTTTAAAACGAGAGCCGAGGGACTCCCGAAATCCCCTGCCTCCCGCAGCTGGGACTTTGGGAAAAGGCCCCAAATATCAGGAGACTCCTGACGAAATCACAACAGTTGGCGACGCGGATGTTGGCCTCATTCCCCGGAGGACAGAGAATAGCCAAGCCCCCCACCCTGGGGAGAGGCTCAGGGGCCGTTCGGGCTGCCAGAGCGGGGCAAAGGGCGCTGAGCGTGACGGAGAGCCAGGCCCAGAGGAGTTGGGGCAGAGAAACGGGCCTCTTTCAGGCTGCGTTCCTCCACCAGGAAGGGAGAAGAGGCACCAGCTGGGTTTAACTTTCCCCGGGCAGCGTGATCTGTAACCCCCACCCCCTTGGCTGTTTAGCTGGGAACTCCGGCCCCTCTCCCATGGCAGCTGAGCCCGTCCTGTGTTCCATATGGCATCAATTACTCCAATTACCCGCCTGCAGGGCTCCTGGCTAATCCAATAGGGGAAACAGCAAATTGATTGGAAACACGGCAAGCCTGTCCGATCGCATCAGCTGCCAAATGAGGGTCATTAGGGCCTGCTGGGAAACAAAGGCTGTGATTAGAGCTGGAGCGGGCGGGCTGGATCTCAGCCCCCCTTAACTTTGGCCTCGTGCCCCTTATAGATTCATTAGGAGAAGGATGCAAATTGCACGGCGCAGACCCCGGGCGAGATCAGGACCCCGTTGCGCCGGGCGCTGCGCAGACTCCGGGCGAGATCAGGACCCCGTTGCGCCGGGCGCTGCGCAGACCCCGGTCAAGATTAGGGCCCCGTCGCGCCGGGCGCTGCCCAGACCCCAGCCAAGATCAGGACCCCATCGTGCCGGGCGCTGCACAGACATCCAGTGAAAGCTAGTACCTGCCCTAAAGAGCTCACAATCTAAATACCCAAAGGTTGGGAAGGGAAACTGAGGCACGGAGCTGGAAAATGACTGGCCCCCAGTCACCCGACAGATCAGTGGCAAAACCAGGGATAGAAGCCAGTCGCCCTGTGCTCTATCCCGTTCCCTAGTAGGACAGGGTGCATCTGGCAGGCAGGACTGTAGGGGAGAGCCCTTCCCACAGCGTGCCCGGGGCCAGTGTTGTAGGGTAAAAGGCCTGTGTTTGCCTGACAACCGCACGGCTTATGAACCCTGACATCCCTGTCCTCTGCTCTCGCCGGCCAGTGGCTCAAAGAGCCCAACAGCCGAAGGATTGCAGCCCCTTCTCATCCTGGCTTGAGGTGTGTTTCTTTCTAAGTCACGGGTTCCCGCGCCCTAGCTCGCCCCATCCAGCAGGATCTCAAAGGACTTTACAATAGAGGTCAGTGGCGTTATCCCCATTTGACAGATGGGGAAACTGAGGCATGAGGCAGGGGAAGGGTCAATCCACTAGGCCATGTTGATTTCTGTTCTACTCTCAGCAGGTCGCACTCCCCAGGCCTTGGTATCTCAGGCCAGTCTCTTTCTCTCCTGCTGGGGGTTTGCTCCCCCAGCTCCCTGGTCTTCTCCACCCATGGGGCTGCATTCCCAGGCGAACTCTCCTTGGTCCTAGCCCCGGCCCTTCCCCCAAGCGCTCCTGCCCCTCCACCTGGAGAGGTGAGCTGAGGCTGGCACAGGACAGCTGCCCCCTCCCCCCCCCATGTAAAGGACCAGCCGCCCTGGGGTTGGATTCTGCAGTGCGACGAACCAGGAGCCCTGACGTGACGACCGCCTTCCGCTCCGTCTTAGCAACCGGATTCTGCACCAACACGGCCTCCCACCCCCGCCAGCCCCGTTGCAGTGCCAGCAATAAACCGTGGCACGGTCAGGTCTGCAGAAAGGGCACGGCCCAGGGGGTCACCCACTTCTGTGGCACCCCCAGGCGCCGGGGCGCCAATTAGCTTTCCTCCCCAGTGGGCAGCCCCGCGGATCTCGGTGGAAGCCGGGAGGGAGTTTTATTTCATCCGTGCGGCTTTTCCTCCTCTCCTTTATTGGGCCGCTTTGCATAAAGGTTCATAATTAACCAGCACCAGGTCCCCCCCCCCCACCCCCCCCCGCCCCCGCCCTCACAAATAAACGAAAGTGCAGGCCGTGTCACCAGCCACCACCGACTGAATCGGCCAAACTATGTGTCATAAACCCCTCTACTGCTCTGAGCCAGTGGGGATTTTCCACTTCTGGCCTTTTGGAGCATGCAGAGCCAAGTTCTATAGCCCAGCGCCTCTCTGGGGACTTGCCGGGTCTCGCAGAGGCTGAGGAATTAGCCCCAGGCGAGGAATTACCCGTGATTCCCTTTCACTGAATTTGCTCAGCGCATAATCACAGACCATTAGACTGGGCATGTCATAGGGGGCCTTAAATCCAGGCCTCTCAAAGCACTTCACAAACAGCGGAAGGAAATCTCACCGACCCCAGGACGTGATCTGCTTTTCCTGGTGGGGAAACTGAGGCATGGAGCGGTGAAAGAGCTTGCCCACAGTCACACAGCAAGTCTGAGGCACAGCTGGGGAGAGGACCCAGGAGTCCTGACGCACACAGGGAGTCTGGGCCACAGCTGGGGAGGGGACCCAGGAGTCCTGACGCTCACGGGGAGTCCGGGCCACAGCTGGGGAGGGGACCCAGGAGTCCTGACGCTCACGGGGAGTCCGGGCCACAGCTGGGGAGGGGACCCAGGAGTCCTGACGCTCACGGGGAGTCCGGGCCACAGCTGGGGAGGGGACCCAGGAGT